GCCTTACCTAAAAAATATTAATAAATAAAAAATAAATAACAAAACTTTCATTTATTTTTTATATAATAGCCGTAAAAAACACTTTAGATTGCTTCTGAAGGTTCTATCAATTATCTATTCAATTCCATATCATGTAAATAAAATAGATCTTCTTTTGTGTTAAGAGAATCCAAGTATTCCTCATAGGTTTCAAACTTATAGTGAAGTGTATAAATTTCACTATCAAATAATAATAATTTGATATAATCTTTTAATTACATTATTCTCAAAATTCACAAAAGAAAATCCTCAAGATTTTCACATACGAATCCAACATCACAAGGTGATATTTCTAATTTTGATCTCACTAATTATGAGCTCCAACAATAAGTCCAGTAGCTTGCATTTCAACTAATTTAATTCCAAAATGCTCATATTTCATAATGTGTAGTCTTATTATCCCAGGAGTTTTTTATATCTTTAAATGGTAAATTCTTATACATAATAAATATAATCCTATGTAAATAACAAATATTTATTTAAAAATTTTTTCTGTTGATAGTATCCTATATAGTTTAGAATAAATGATCTTCATCAGCATTTTTATAAGATCCCCCCAACGCATATAATTTTAGGGATTAAGATATTTCAGAAGGCTAATCTGTCGACCAAATTATGTTCTAACATACAAAAGAAATCTTTGCTGAAGCTTTCTATTTAGAATAAGAATGAACTTAAGATCTTGATTATATTATTTTTGGGCTGAATCTTGAATTAGCTTTATCTATAACTCATTAATGTGTTAAAGAAATGAAGAAATTAAGCCAGTTTGATTACTTATCAATAATTAGGGTTCATCAAGGCATAGCTATCAAGGGTTTATGAGAAGCACACAACAGATGACATATAGCAAATAATTTTTGAAAGAACTTGCTTGTAAGGCATGTAATCATTAGATCTAAATATATCTAAGTGTAGCAAAGTAAAATAAGCAAAAACTCCAGGTAATAGAAACGAAAAAGAAAAATATAAATCAATCCAAAATTTTATTATAATATATTTTTGTATTATTTTTAGATTAAACATAAAATAAACAAAAAAGGTCAAATCCAAATTCTGTTCTATTAACATTGCTGTAATATTTGATTTAGAGGTTGGAAATAACAAAATTACTACTACTTCCTTATTAAGAATGAGAATTTTCAAGTTTTAATGACAAAATTTTATATATGATGATTTTTGAGGAAAAATACTTCCAAGGTTTAAGGTTAAAGAAATATAATATCAATAAGAAATGAAAAATTAGGTAAAGCCAGAAGTTGGCCAGACATTTAATTTTATAAATTGATCTTCAGGGAACTGCTTTTTAAATTTGAATGAAATGGCAATTAGGCTACAAAAATAAAGAAAAATTTTCATAAAAGGATATTGATTGAGATGTTCGATAGAAATAAAAAAATCAATTAATCTTGCCTAATTTTAGTGGATGAATCCACAAGGTAAGGACACCTTTTAAATATTGGTGCATGATGCATTCAGCTATCAATTTTTTGAGGTGACCATTTCAGGCCGAATTATTAAGAGAT